TCCTCACGACGAACAATCGAGAACACCTCATCCAAGCTTGGAAGGGGTGTAGTAGCCAAAATACGACTACGCATTTGATCCAATCCATGATCAAGTCCCGCCAGAAACATATAAATCATGTCTTCAGTATACCTTTCTTTTAACGCATTAACATCGACAGCACACTTCATAGGATTGGTATGTGATAGTCAAGCTCCAAGAAAATTGAATTCATTTCAGTGTACTACGTAACAAGAGGCCACCCCTCTTGCCACAGCTGAAATAATTTTTTTCATTAGTTCATAAACCTGTAACGAATCAGAGACATCAAGGTAACTTCTCTTAACAGCATCCCACACATCTTTGACTGTGTCAAACTGAACAAAGTGGGCCACAAGAGCATCGATCATTGAATTGATGAGCCAAGACTTAACGATATCATCATCTACCATCCATTCACCATAACTACAATCATTCTCTTTCGGTACAATTAGCTCACCAAAAATGTGGCTCTCTTCTTCCGACCAGTATACGCTTTTCCAGTAATTTTGACCACACACGATAGTTAGTACCATCTAACTTAATGTGAATCGGAGATGATGTTTCATGAATTAATGATGTAATCACCTTGTTATCAGCCATTGTAAAGATGCCGAAAAAAAGTTGTTCGCTCTGGGATTAAATACCTCTGGTATTCCTGCCCTTTCAGAATTTGACAAGGGAAAGAGAAGCTGCAGGCATAGACTCGAGCATAACAAGAGGAGAAGAAAGACTCAACCGGGCGGCGCCACTACTTCACGTTTGAACTAACAGAGGCACAGAAAATAGCTCAAAAAATCGAAAATAGCTCGAAACCCTGTTCCTGCCAAGCCGGTTTGTTCGCGTCTCCTAGAACAGACCGAAAGACGAACAGAGAACGAGAAGAAAGCTGCGTCGAAGACGCGCACAGGCTCGGGACGCAGCAAGTGGTCGTCACTGGCGTCTGGGTAGCCGGAATCGGCGCCGGCTAGGGGTTGGATGACAAGGCTCTGATACCAAGTCGAAATGTCGGGAGAAAAATAAGTATTATGTAATATTGATAATGAACCCTAAAATATACAGGGAAATGGAAAAAAGGAAAAATTTAGACTTTAGTCCCTAACAATAACAAGAACTACGAGTTGGTACATATCTTCTTCAACTCCATTATATATTGCTCTGTATCATCTGTTGGGCATATCTACTTAGCAACAAGTTTCTGCATCTTCTTCTTGAAAACACTTGGGTACATTAGTTTTCTCCCATGGTTGCTCTGCTGCCTAGTTTTGTTATCTCTGAAGAAATGGAAATGTTGCATGGTTCTAGAATATTGATTGATAATATAAATTAAAACACACCCCCAACAAATTCTAATTGACAACCCAGTAGCACTTTTCTTTCAAATTTCTGGAATCAGAGAAGTTTTGGAAATTACAAAGCCCTTGAATATTTAAGTGTTGTATGGTGACCTTCTCTTACTCGTTCTTTTTTATGGACCTCTGATTTCCCGTTCTTTTAATAGGTTACGTCGATGTCTACATTGTGGGGTTATTGAAAATTCTACTCCAGCAATGCGTCGGGGGCCAGCAGGTCCTTGAACGTTATGCAATGCTTGTGGACTGATGTGGGCAAACAATGTATGGTCGTCAATTTTATTAGTTTCCTATATGTGGAGCCTTTATCGACTTTGATTATTATTTTTAGTTTGAGATGAAAGCCATCTATTTTTTGAACATCTAATCGAAAGAGTTCTAGAACCAATAACAGTGACATTTGCAATTTCAATCTTAGCACCTTTTAGTATTTACTTTTTGTTATTGTTACTCCATTCTCTTTTGTCATCATTCAGTTGTGTTTTTAGGGAAGTCTGAGGGATCTTAAAAAGGGACAGAGGCACATATCATTTGATCAAAGTGAGCTAGTATGTATCCGAGCAACAGCCAACTTCTAACTATTCTTCTTCACTGGCCTAATAAAGATTCTGTTTATTTTTATAACCTTCACTTTATGATGCTCAGTATTTAGTTGTCATCTGTGTCATAATCAGAGGAGACTTGTGTCACTTTCTCCACTTTCCACTATGTTACCTCATTGTCAAATCCCGTTTGACGTCCGTATATTCACCAGGAAACTCCTGAGGTCAAGCCTGCTGCCTTTGAACCTTAAAGTTCCCATCACAAACCAGGATGGGGAGGTAATTATGTGTGGATCACTTCTATCATCATATTACTGGATTAGAGATCTTTGGCGCTGGCTTCAGGAGATATTACTGTGTCTGGGATATTATTAACCTTAAATATAGCACTATCGATATCAATCTGATAATCATTGAGCAATAATATGCTAATTAATTCAAAATGAAATCAAAGTTTTCGAGAGTTACACCCTGCAATATTACAATACTAAGATAAGATTGAGCAAAAGGAATGTGCCTCAAAACTCAACTATGCAAACAAAGGCATGTAAAAAAAAATCGAAGTTATTGATGGCCATTGGCCAATTAAATGAAGTGCAATAAATGAAGTTAATCATTTTTCCTTTATTATACTACATTCGTTATCACTATTGTCCAATATCAAGTAAAAAAAATCATAAATATGAAAAAAAAAATTAAAAAAACTGTAATTTTTTGTCACAAAACCTTCATAATACAGTGTATAACAGGGTCCTAACATTCTGCCTTTTTGCCATAAAAGAGGATTGTGTACAAGAATGCAAGGGATGATCTTCATTTAACAGACATTCTATTAGTCCAATAGTAATAATTTTGAGATTAAAAAAGAGTAAACATTAATAAATTGAAAGTATATCAGGGTGGGTAAAGCCCCTTCAATGTTTCGAGTGATTATCTACAAGTATTGTTGCACGAATCTTCATCTCAAAAGGAAGGAAGCAAATGCTCCGATTCTTATTGGAGCTTCTGATAAGCCATACGTCTATAATCAACCATGTCGCTGAGAAAAATACGTGTTAACAGTAAATTCTAGTCTCTCCATCTTAAAGAATACTAACCTTCCAAAACATCCACACTTGTTCTAAAAGTATGGTCTTCCATCTAGCAAGAATGCTGGACAGAGTCGTCAAATGAATGTGAAAATCGATAACTTGGCCTGACGCATCCTTCCAGTAACTTATGCGTCGACTGTTGGATAAAAGCCTTGAATAGAATTTCGTCCCCCACCATTAGAATCTGCATTTCCATAAAATGGTGAGTGTTGTTCACCAGAATGGGACGACTTGCGGGATTTGGGATTTTTGGACTGAGAAGTATATGATTCACTCGAACCACTGGTAGTAGAATACAGAGATGAGGTTGGAAGACCATGGATTTTAGGCAGGCCCGTCGGATCAGTACCTAAGCTGTAGCCCCTCTCGATTGTATCAGCTTCAAGCGGTAGTTCGTCCAATGTCTACATACAAAAGTAGACAGATCATTAAAGAAGTCTTCGGGACTATGAAGAAGATCTTGACGTAACAGGATATGCAGGACTAGAAAATCATAAATCCGAGACAAAGTCCAAGTCCTTTTGGGAAGTAGAAAACAATAAGACAATTTGAAACGTTCCACACAAAGTATTTGATTGCCTAATTAAAAATAACTTCTGCCCACCAAAGATATCCAAAATTTTGTTTTCACAAGGCAATCGGGAAAGATATGCGTCTCTGTACTTATATTTCAATCAAGGTCAGAATGAAATAAATAATCAATGGAGCAAATTTCAATTAACAAGTAAGCTCCGAAAGGAAAAAAGAAAAGAAAACAACGAAACATGGGATCAGCCATTGCTGATTTCCACAGCATGTTTGGCAAATAAGCCTATGGAGTATAAGCCACGGGTCTCACACAAATGTTTTGTCAAAAATGCATGGGTAGTGGGTCCTACACAAAATAAGATACAACTAAGGTAAACCTTACTTATTAGCCCTATTTCAACCCACAAAATTTTGTGGGCCCATGGCTTATTTGCCAAACATGCTGTATATATGCACATCCGGACTCCTGAAAGAACCAGACAACGGTGCTTGCTACTATGTAAGACAAGAAATTAGACATACAAATGACAGAACCTCAACGTGTTTGCTTCTATGGAATTCAAGAATCAAGCATTTACCCGAAAAGCTTGCTGTAGAACCCGGAGGGTTTCTCGAGTACGCTTTCTTTTCATAGCCACCTCGTCCGGTTCCTGTAGCATCTCTTCAAACAAGTTGTCCCTGCTCCATAAATAACATTAGCATGCGAGTATAACAATTTATTTAACTGATAAATGTCTATAGCATACAGTATAGCTCAACTCATCCAATTACTAATCAAGACCGAAATACAAAAAGGTCATAGTCTGCTCCTCTTTCGTACACACAAAGATGCAAGCACTATTTAGAAGTTCCGTTCGGACATCCTATGTACCAAACTAATAAAATCTTAAAAATATACCTGTAAAGCTTTTTGATAAAAACATTGTGGAGCTCCCGTTTAGTGTGGTTCACCTGTAAGATGAATAAAAAAAACTAATGATGGCACTCATAAAATTATTTTGGGACAATTGAGATAGAAAAGGACACAGAAAGACGATTCAGGTATTCAATTATTCGTACAGAGACAACAATGATAGACAAACCACGATAGTATTACTGACAGCTTTACATTTTTTAATGCAGAAGTTGGACTGCATGCGCTCTTTCCAGGTAAAACATCCAAGACGAATAATCAACTTTTTTTCTTAAAAAAAGAAAAGTTTGTCTGATAAAAAACATGATTCCAAATTCAAACAACATATTTTCTTCTTGTTCTCTCTCTCTCTCTCTCTCTCTCATTTTTTTTAGTGGGGTGGAGGTGATGTGGGTTCACTTAATGTGAATGCTAGGTTGTGGTGGTCAAATCCATGGTTAAAAAATTATAAGATAGCAAAACAAGAGAAGGAAATCTAAAGTTCACGTTAACAATAACCAATTACCAGAAAATGCATAATTGCTTTAGGTACAGAATCTTCAATGTTCTTCCGAACTTACAGTATTATACTGGCATTATTCCGCTTCGTAATAGCAATCTCAATAGCATCGTCTGAATGAGTTTCTGAAGGCCTCAAGACAGCAGGGGGCTTCAAGAAAAACAGTACAGAAACTTGTTAGCACAGTAACACAGACATTACATCTCAACGACCAAATCGAACAAATATTCTAGAGAGGATACTCCATGAACATACCTCTCTCAGGTGAATGACCGAAATGCTATGCTCCACGCTCTGAACAGGTTCACTAAATGGCTTGCTAGTCGAATTCTCTTTAACAGATGAGCGATTATCATAGCTGCCAAAAATTGATGATATTCCCCAGGGCGAACTAGTGCTGTTTACTGGTTAATCATAAAATATTGCCACATTAGGTCTTTAATGATATTGATTGCCACCGGTGATTCCTAGAGAATCAGGTTGGCCACTTATCCAGAGGCGCAAAGGAGGGTGTGGGAGTGCGGGTGGCCATAGCCCAGCTTGGCCAAATGCAAAAAGAGTAAAACGACGACAAACTAAGCCTTATTCCCAGTTTATTTGGGCATAATATCATAAGATATATTTTTTTCTCTAAAAAAAAGAAAGAGAAAAATTACCAGGCAGTGCAGTTTTCTCGACATCTGCAGCAGGTCGAACACCCTGTTTGTCATGCAAAGCCTGAAAAAATAATTAGCATTACAATAATGAAATTTCGCAAGCTTTTTTTTTTTTGGTAATTTAACAACACTAGAGACAAAAGAAGATGAGTAGGTTCCAAGGACGGCCCAGGTGCCAATTGATAGCTAACCTGCTCTGGAACTATTCCATTCACAGGCCTGGCAAGAATAGCACGAGATTTTAGACTTCTCTCAGAATTTGGTGCTTTGTCTGAATCTCCTGTATCCTAATTAATAAATGTTAACCATATATTAATCCACAGAATCTTATTAAGCAAACAGAGAGAGATGTGAATAGGTCAGTACAGCAAAGTAAATACTTACTTTCTGCCTGGGAATCACTGCAGCAAGCCTGGTGGACTTGATCTGTTGTAGTGCCATTTCTACAGCTTTACTCCCACCAATAAAATTTGGATGAGAAGTGTTTATGTAATCCATCTACAGAAAAAAAAAAACACAATAATTAGATAGGAGTGATCTATAAATTACCAAAAAAATCAAAAACTTGCAACAACAAAAGCACTAGTAATTGCAACAGAGGTAAAATATTGAGCAAATTTACAACGTTTCTAGCATCATAAATCATGCAATAAGTAAACAAAGGTTAAGTTTCACAAAAAAAAAAAAAAAGAGCCAAAGGAAACATTTCCTGAATAAACTTTAGAATTCAAGAGAAAAGTAGAAATAATGGAAGGACGAAAAATATATTTCTGATTCAATAAGTTGTGAATAAAACCTAAATCCCCTTTATACAAACTTCTAGCAGATAACAATGAATAGAACAAAACTTCTGTCTAATATGAATAGTGAATAATCTGACTGAGAATGTCTTTTTAACTTGTTTTCGACAGGAGTAGACTTTTAGTTGTTTCCTATCACTAATACTTCCTTTTTGAAATTAAAAAATAAAAAAATAAATCCCAATGCATTAGACATGAATGCACAAATTTTGGAAAGGGTAAACCATCTCATCTAAAAGCTCAAATTCTTAGAGGGAGGCCACAAATATTCATTTATATTTTGTCTTCGACACACACCTCCCGTGCAAGCTAGGTTCAGTTTTTCCCTTGTAGACCCAACATGTGTACAATTTTCATAAATGGGTAAGGACGAGACTTAAAACTTAGGTCTTTTGCCTTACCTTGACGCCGTGCTAACCAATTCATCTAAAAGCTTAAACTGTAAGATACGGACATCTATCATTAAGAGCATGCATGATGTAGATTTTTAGCAAATAAAGTTGATAAAAGTCGGTGAGTTCCATGAAATGTGTAGATAAAAGTTGTGGGTAAAATGAAATTTGTGGTTAAAAATGAGTTAGAAAGCATTTTAGCAAAAAAATAAAAAAAAATAGCTACACCAAACAGGCTCTAAATTTTGTCTTCAACGAGGTAAGCTCTAATGTGGTAACAACTTGGACTGTGAAGGACGTATCAGGTTCTACATTATGCCCATGTTTGAGCCACATTAAAATTTTCATTTTCATTCTTTTACTCATTTTCAATTACACATTCTTCAATAAAATAATATTTTTCATCACATCAATAATTTTTCCTTCTTATTCAATCACACATTCTCCATCAAAAACCACACATTTTCCATCAATCTAATATTCCAAAATACATTCTTCCAAAATAATGTAGCTCAAACACACCTTATATTGCATAATCAATTTTAAAAATGACGAAAATCCGTAGGATATGAAATGATTGGTGGAATTTAAATGCTCAAAAGTGTATTTTGCACCCAAAACCTGAATGTGGGAGGGGGTAGAGACATGTAAAAAGGAAAGAGAGAAGGGGAGAGGGAGTTTGCCACTTCATTTTTTTTTTTTTTCTTTTGGGAAATTGATAGTTCAAAAGTTGTGTACTTCATACCCAGATTCGCTATGCCTGGAATAGATTGCTTCATGAAATCAGCAAAAGAAACAAGAATGATGAAATTAACATAATTTCCTGGAAGAATCACTGAAATAGGTTGTGTACAAAGGTCACAGATTACCAAGCAGCTCTTGCACTCTATTCATTGAAGGTATAAATTGCTATGATGCAGAAATACAAGAAGGTAAAGCCGTAAAGGAGTCGCGTGTACCTCCATCTCAATAATGTGTCCTATCATTGTCTCTGAAGGCTCAAGACCTTCTCGTAAGAAATTACCTATAACCTCATCCATGCGCTTTCTTAGGACCGGAAACCGTTGCATATCATTGACCATACATTGATGGCTCATCTAAAAGAAACATTGAAGTTAATGCCCAGATGCAAAGATAAATGAACCTAAAAAGCACTAGAAATTTACTAGCAAGATGTACCTTTATTAGCTCGTCATAAATGAACCTAGCACATTGAAGACTAGGATCCAACAACCGAGCTATTTGTCTTCTAATTAGAACTTCAAATGGAACCTACGAGTTTGGATATATATCGCATGCTAAAGGTTAGATGGAAGGTCAGTTTTTTTTTAAAAAAACAAAAAAATAAGGGAAAGGAAAAGGAAAAGAGAAGGCATTTAGATTTCGATTGTGCTGCACATACATAACGATTTATATAATGGTTTACATACACATGATATGGTAAGATATGATTGGGTCAAAATTTCTTCAACAAAAAAACAAAAAAAAATCCTTCTTTTTTACACCTCATCTGTATATAAACCATTGCATAAGTCCATTGTGTACAAGTAGCAGTATTCTTCAGATTTTTAAGGAAATTAAAGATACAGCACAGTGAAAAGAGATTGTTGGTATGGAGGACCTACTTCCGGCACAAACAATGCAGATTTGGGTCCAGTTGCATTTTGAATGGCAGTGCGGATATCATCATCTGTTAGGTCCTCGCACGGGTCTACCTCCTGCCAAAGTAGGAGAGAAGAAGGGCAAAAAACTTATATCTAGAATTTCATCAATGTTGACAGCACTTAGTAATGGCATCCATGACTAAATAATAAAACCAAAAGATTGCCGATATTTTTTCTGAGGTAAAGACTTGTGAAGGAATAATCTAAATGCTCTTTACAGAAAAATTGTAATTCGTAAACAATTCTTCAAAGCGTCTCCATCGACTGGGGAAGCAAATGCTATTTTTTATTTAATGTTTGAAATCTTTCTTTTTTATTTACTTAGTATATACCTTTTACCCTCTTGTTTCACAAAATCTTCATTTTTTCTCTCTATATATACAACTTCCATAATTACTGCAGTGATGATTTGTACATCCTACAAAGGACTGGATTCTATACACTCAACCAAATTCACATTTTAAGTTGGAAAACAATTTACAACAGAATTCACAATGTAAGAATTAAGAAATCACGATCCATGTCGATAACATTCAAATGAACAACACAAACCTCCAAGCTCTTCACAAATATATTTTGGAAAATGTAATGAATTCTTGCTCCACCGGACAGCTCGGACGTTGACAGTTCTTCGTTTTTTCCTTCTACCATTGAAGAGAATGCTGTTTCCAAAAACAAAATGGCAACTCCACTAAGTGCTAGCATTAAGTATAATTATTTGGGGGAGGGATGTCATGTAATTAAGGCTGAAAATTAACAGAGCTGGAAGTCGGTCATGGTCGGATCCTTTATTAGACGAGCCCAAATACTACATTTCTGTTTGCAGTTCTATGTGAACTCGTATTTAAAGTTCAACTAGAAATATTCTTGTTCATAACGTTATTTGCAGAATGTCAGAAGGAATTCTTAATAATAAGAGAAATGCATAACTAGGAAAATAATATCATTATAAGGGTATAATTATAGTAATCCATTTAATTTTTTGTGCTAAAAGATAAGATAAAACATTAGTATGTCAGTACATTGCATTACTATTGTGATAAAAGAAACAAGGCATGTTCACTTTGGATCATTTATAAGACGAGCCAAGGACATAAACATGAATACCCAAACTGCTAATGAATGGCTCAATTCATTTATAATGAAAGTTTATAAAGTTCAACAAAGAATCAACTAAGAACATGAATACAATTGAACGTGATTTTTTTGTTTGAATAAAGTAAACAGAGGCCAAGTACCTTCAGAATACTTGGAAAGAATATTCAGTAGCAGCGCTCCTTGACCGGCCTGTTTCCGACAAGTGGAGAAAAAAATTAAAAACTAAAGCACCCAGTTGCAAGATTGATACCGGCGGGAAAAAAATGTTAACCACAATGCAAAAAGTCCAAGCTTATTGTATAAACTGTTTGCCTTCAGCAATGCCCTATTAAGGACAATGGACCGGCGAGAAAAATATTTAAGTGCAAAATTTATTATCTATCTCTAAATTTGGGATGGAAGGTTCTTCCACTTAGTATGGCCAATAAATTCAAGCAATAATCATCCAGCATGACATGAGAAACCTTTGACTCAGTGATCTCTCCATAGCTAGCGTGCTCCTTTGCAACAGAAACTAATGCCGCACTGATGCGTGACTTCAACCCTGGAAGAATCGTTTTGATGTGTTGTACCAGTATCTGCATAAAAAGGAGAAAGACTGTCATGTCCTGACATTAATATAAACCTTTCACAAAATTAAACAATCATTAAAATATGTTGCATACAATTCAACTATTATATTACAGTCAAGTTCGTGGCATTTATGTGCAATCCCATGCAAGTTAAGCAACAAAAAGGATATGTCAATAGTCATTTTATTGGCACGTGTACACCCTTTAAGGCCTGAACATGGGAAAGTATAAAACTAGCTGCTTAGACTGCTCATGTATTATGCAGTAGAAAGCATTATTCTCTGCATACAATATAGAATATACTAAGGAGAAATATGTTCTGCCAGAGACCACGTTAACCAAAATAAGAGCATTTCCTTAACAAGGCTGTCTACTTTGAAAGTCATGGTACATGAGAATTCATCTCATTCTATGTACCTGGTTTAATTTTTTGGCCAACTGAGGAACCCCACAACGATCAGCAAGATCACTATAAACCTACAGAATATATTTTTGTGAGCAAAGAGATCAATAATGAAGGACGGGATATCAATTAATAACAAAAGAGTAGGTTATACTGGACGACTACGAAAGAACTTCTCCTCAGCTATAAGTGCATCCTTGATGCTCCGATTCAACAGTATATCCTGTTTAAGCACAACAATAACCAACTTGTTCAGAAGTCTACAAAAAGAAACAAAACGAAGTTATAAGCAAACAAAAACTGTCGAAGGGAAACTAAATATTACCTCCTGACTACGATTCACAACACCTACGTATCCAAGTCGAAGAGGAATCACTTTTCCAAGCAAAAAGTTGCGGGCATCGGTTCCTCTGTCCATAATATCCAGCTGAAGCATAAAAAGGCAGGTTCAGAAAAGCAGAAAGAAATATAAGAACATCAAAAGCCAATTATATGGACGACATCTTCATATTAAACACATTGCACCTTAGTAATTACACCAATTGTTCGATAACCTGCAATCAGAAACTTAGGTGCATAAGCTTTAGAATCCAACAGCAATAACATTTGGAAATGAATGAAATTGTGTTCAGTGGTAAGTTTCCTGATGCAAAGACGGAACTTACCATCAGGATCAGCCATTCCAGCCATCTGGAGAGCATCTGAGTTGGCTAAATCAGAATTTGCTGGCGTAACAGCCAAAATCACGCAACTTTGAAGTTTAATATATGACATTATCATTGTTCTAATACGTGCTTCTATGTCAGATGGCTGATCACCCACAGGAACTTTAGTTAACCCCGGCAAAGAAGTTTAATATATGACATTATCATTGTTCTTATACGTGCTTCTATGTCTGATGGCTGATCACCCTCAGGAACTTTAGTTAACCCCGGCATGTCCACAAGAGTAATATCAAGAACATTTGGTGAAAAAATCTTCAGACGAATCTGCTTGTCTGTAACGCCTTTGTTTCCACCTGCTTCTCTCTCTGTTTCAGCCTACGTGAATTTGTAGATAAGAAACTAGAAGACAACCTATTATCAAAATCTAAAAGAAGTAAGAAGAAAAAAGAGTGTGTTAGCAGCTAAAGCAACAAAGTTGGTCACTTCCAATGTGATTTCCCCCTGGTGCCAACAATGAAATAAACTCAGTATGGTTACCCACTCATTATAGTAGCATATCAAATGGGTTATCCTATACAAGCGTATGATTTAGCACTATTCCAAACAAGATGATATTTCAAATTAGTAGAAAATTCCACCAGGTTTAGAATGGATATTTCCAGTGTGTATGAAAAAGGTCCTGGTCTGGGTGAGCATTTCATAATACAAGTGGCTTTTCAAATAAAAATCTAACATTCAGATATTTAAGTACGGATCGTTTCTTTTCCATTCAAGATAATATTTCCACTTTCAATTAACAGAGAGGAGAAGGCAGAGGCACCAACCCAAATGTCAGTGATGTATACATGAAGTGCATGTTAGAAGTGTTATGGATTAATCGATTAATCCGTATTACCAAGAGCAATAAATAACATGAAACAGAAAACGAAAACAAGGAAAAAATATATATTTAGGGTCGCTTCCTCTCAATGCGAGAGTTTATGACCACTTGATACCACCACAGGATTCCCCCCTATATCAAAGAAGAAGAACAATTGAAGTGTTTTCTGATCTCACGCCTCTATGTGTTCTCAATACACCACCAGAAAATAAGCTTGCCCCTAATATCCTTATATAGGTCAAAATATTAGCGCAACTTAATACACATGCAAACTTCTCAATATTCCCATATCACCTAAAAAATTTGCCTCGGGAAGCCCCCAAACCAGGGGCTGGCCGATCGATCTTACCGCAACTGAACCGCGGTCAAGGGAAAAAGGGTGCAGGAAGGTTAGGCAGCACATATCCAATAAGACGAAGATTTTCCTCATATATATATTTAGGGAAAAAGCAAGCTAATTCAATTACAGTACTTAGCAAAACATGCATAGAACCAAGAATATTTACTATGTCGGTGCATCAAACTGATGGATCCAATTTGGCATTTAAAAGTCACAAGCACTTAAATTGTCTAACAATTGCTTTAGATTTAAGACTGCAGTTTGAATTTGTTATTTGGGGTGAAAAAAAAGAGAAAACGAATAAACACAAATACACTTTCTCACACCCCTCCAAGTGATTCCCAACAGTCAAGAGACTTGGAAGTCCATATATTCTTTAAACTTTAAACCCACACTTCTCCTAAGTCCAGGGGAAGAGAAATAAACAGTGAAGTCCATATATTCTTTAAACTTTAAACCCACACTTCTCCTAAGTCCAGGGGAAGAGAAATAAACAGTGACACCACTGTTTGCATATGTCTTTAAGAACCTAGATAATAGGATATCCATTCCCCCAGAAATAAACATGGCATCATAGCCCAACCCAACATTACAGCCTTACCTGTACAACATGAATGCTTAAATTGTCTATCATTGACTAAAAATCAGCTGAAACTCCTCCATTAAAACAATGTTTTCTAAAAATAATTATAAACCCACCATACAGCACATGGCTTACGGCCAACCAATAGCATGATCCTAAAATATCAAATTCCAAGTCCGTCAAGACTGAAAAGACTAGAAATACCCTGGCAATTACATGTGCTCACTTACATGTATTTTATTTTAATCACACCAAATGATGCCGAGTTCTTCTGAAAAAATTACGTTGGCCTCATTGTGGTCTCGCTCGTAGCCAACTTCTTCTTTTGAATACCAATTCCCACCCTTCACTCCAAACACTCCCACATTGCCATTCTCTTTTTCAAGTTCCACAATCATATCCAAACAAAGTATGTGAAACTTCGAACATTTTGATTAAGGGCTACACAGAGAAGGAAAACCAACCTGCCTTACATTTACCAAATTTTCGGGGCAATTTCACTGAAATTCAAAGCTTATAAATTCCCTAACTCATTTTCAAATGTCTAGGCACAGAGTAATTACTTTAATTCTCGAGCCCCACTGAGGATTTAAAAAACACAAAAATTTTAAATCCTCGTACAAGGTACTACTTCAAAAAATAATATATACATAAATCACCTGAATCTCTTTCCTGATTTCATTGAAATCAAAGAACCTCTTCCCCGGTAAGTGCAAGAACTCCCCCCACTCCTCGTCAGTTCCGTCAGCCTTCTTCTTCCTCTGCACGAGTTGCAGCACGAGAGGGCGGCGCGTGCAGATATCATTTCCCCGAGGCAAGAAATCGCGCCCTACGAGCGCCTCCAGAACACTAGATTTCCCACTGCTCTGGCTGCCAACTACGGCCACCTGCGGCAACTCGATCGTGGACTGGCTCCCGAGCTGAGCGAAGATATCCTGTAGCTTGTTCGCAATCGGTATCACCGAGTGACCCAGCGCCGCCGACGCATTATTCGACACCTCTGCTTGCTCTTCCGCCATGGAATTGATCGGTGATTATTGACTAACCAATTAACGGATTCAATAGAAGAAATAATCGATCGACTGAAATATGGGCGTGAAGATAGAGAGCGGAAGCCTATGGAGGAATTTGAATTTTGGTATTTGGAGGTGGGGTATGCGATTATTCCAGTATCGCCTCAAATGTGAGAGAGAAATTTAATATTTTTGAAGGTAAATAGCACCGAAACATTTTGACCTGGATCCGAATCTTTGATTTTTAGGATTTGAAATCTCAAATCTATATTGTCAACCAGCCACAGTAACATAATTCTTAACAATGTAATAACACGTGATACTTCATCTATTTTGAACAGTCAATTTTTTCTTCCAGTTACGTTTTGCCAAATTTTGAATAAATAATCATTTCCGTAATTTAATTTAGGATTATTTAACGAAATTTTTAATAAAATTTTAAAAGATTTATAAGTTGATGAAATTTGTAATAAAAAATTTGATAAAAATCATGAATCAATGAAATGTTTGATTAAAATTAATTATGAAATTTGACATCAACATCTTAATATTTTTTAAACTATCTCAAACAAGCACGGGGTTGTTTGGCCCTCCATTTTAAAGAAATTATAAATTTTGGAATTGTGATTGATGGGAGAATGTGTAATTGAAAAATAATGAAAAGTTTTAAATTTATGTGTGATATTATTTTATTTGGAGAATGTGTGATTAAAATTAAGAAAGAAAAAAATTAATGGAGATCAAATACTAGCTTAGTGTGTTTTTGAGCTACATTATTTTGGAATAATGTGTTTTTGAGCTCCATTTCTCAAGGTTCACAGACTCTCACAATGTATTGCAATTCATTCAATGCCACTTGGGATTGGGAAGAGTATATTAGCTATAGGCCCCTGCCTAAATGCAACTGTGGAAAACTTTTAAGTCGGACTTGTGACATACTGCTCAGCATATCCAAATTTCAGCAGATGCTATCATGAAGTTCCTCATTGGCCTTAATGAATCATTCATCATTCATTTCTAGAATCAATTGCAATGGTAGCAAGACAGCTTCCTAGAACATTCGACAAACCTCCTCCTCGGAAGGACAAGAAGAAATCTAAATGTACTCACTATGGCTTCCTCAATCACACTGCTGATAAAAGCTTTCAACTCATAGGCTTGGCTGGAAGGGTCCTAGAAGTCCACGAATACTAGGTGATACTCATACTACTCATGCTGTGACTTTAGACCAACCTACAAATGATAAGAGGCCAAATATTTCATTCAATCAAGATCTTTATCAAAAAAAAAAAAAATTGGCTTTTGCTAAAACTTAGCAAATATCTCTTTCTCAATCATCTAATCCATACCTTCTACAACAGCTACCATCACCACGGGTACTTTGTTTTGTAATTCAGCTTATTCTAAACCCAAAACCATCTTTTGGATAATTGACACGGGTACAACAAATCACATGATCTGCTCACCAACTTTCTTCACTTTCATTGATTCAACCAGTATTATTAATGTTCATTTACTAGATGGCATTTCTGTCCTAGTCAGCCACATTGGCAGAGTTCAAGTTTCTGACAGCTTGGTTCTTGAAAATGTTCTGTGTGTACCTTCATTTTCATTTAATCCGATATCAATTTCAAAACTGAAAAAATCTTGCAATCTCTGTGTATTATTTTCTACTTCCAATTGCTTTGTACATGGCCCGAGCAGCATGAAGATTACCGGTTTCACTAAAGAAATACAAGGTCTATATCACCTTGTGATCACTCATGATCAACCTGCATTTCAACATGTCACCAGTAGTTCAACATAATATGCTTCTCAACATTCCAGTTACAACCTTTGGCAATGCAAACTTGGCCACATATCCAATACTCGAATGCTCGAAATCCCACATATCGCTTCTCATTCCTTGTGAAAATTCACATATATGTGATATTTGTCCAATTTCAAAACAAAAGAAATTTCCATTTCCTGTCAGTATATCAGCATCAAATAAAAATTTTTATTTAGTCCATTGTGATATCTGGGCTCTATTCAGTGCACCTTCTTTTAGTGGTTGTAGATTTTTTCTTACTTTTAGTACATGATTATTGTAGATGCCTTTGGTTTTCATGATGCAATCCGAATCTGAAACTCACGGCCATATTAAAAATTTCTACCAGATGGTCATTACTCACTTTAATACCAAAATAAAGTCCTTCGGGTTTGACAATGGTGCTGAATTCCTCATGTCAGATTTCTATGATTCCCATGGAATCCCCCCATCAGAAAGGTTGTGTGGAATCACCCCAACAAAATGGGATAATGGAAAGAAAACATCAATATATCCTACAAGTGGCTCAAACGCTCCTTTTCTAGTCCAATGTACCTCTCACTTTTTTGAGCGATTTGTCACAAACCTAGAGAACTCCCCTACCCATGTGGCATGGCAAGATAGCTTATTACGGGTTTATTGCTAAATTCATCGGAAGTGAACTGACGATGTCCCTTTAACAGGTTTAGATGGAATGCTTTTAATCCCTTTGTTGTGCTT